CACCTCAGCCTCCCAAAGGCGCGGGATTACAGGCTGAGCCACCGAGCCCGGCTACATTCACTTCTATAAAAACACTTCTGGGTGAGAAAAATCAGAATCAATTAATTACATTAACTCAGCAGGTTCAAAAAAAAAATCGCAGGCTGAGTGAATGAGTTATAATTTTTTTTTATAAACCCAGAACAAATCCATACAAGGAATCAGGCTTCCAATAATCCTGGGAGGAGGACAGTGGGCGTTCTTGTTTCCATTTTACAAATGAGGAAACTAGGGTTCAGGAAGCCTAAGCGGCTTGCCTCTTCGGTAACCGGCCAATCGTCGCCGCCCTAACTGCACCTCACCTTCCCGTGCAGCACTAGAGTCCCCGCAGAGGCTGCCGTCCCGGGTCGGTCCAGCTCCAGAAGCCGCTCCCAGCAGGAGAGGCGCGTGAGGTTGCCCCCAACCAGGCTGCACTTCCGCCTTCCCGGACGGCCGCAGCTCACCTCCCTCACCTCCCGCGCCGCCCAAGTCACGAGTTGTCTCCGGGGACCCGCCCCTCCGCCTGCTGATTGGGCAGCTCCTGAACCATTGCTGTCCTCTGATTGGCTGTTCTCTCTCCGGCCGTCCAACACCGTCTAGACCAACCGGATACAGGGGCAGGGCTTCCGCTTCCACCTTCTCCCTCCTCCCGCTCGTCCTCCGGTCGCGGTAGCCACCACAGCGGCAGCTGCCGGGCGTGGTGTCGGCGGGTCGGTTGGTCTCTCTCTCTCTGTCTCTCAGTGTTGGCGTCCGTGCCGTTGAATTGCCCGCCATGGCTGAGCTAGATCCGTTCGGCGCCCCGGCTGGCGCCCCCGGCGGTCCCGCGCTGGGGAACGGAGTGGCCGGCGCCGGCGAGGAAGACCCGGCCGCGGCCTTCTTGGCGCAGCAGGAGAGCGAGATCGCGGGCATCGAGAACGACGAGGCCTTCGCCATCCTGGACGGCGGCGCCCCCGGGCCCCAGCCGCACGGCGAGCCGCCGGGGGGTCCGGGTGAGAGTGCGGGCGCGTTTGGGGCGAGGGGACTGGTCTGGAAACTCGGCCGGGAGCGGGGCATCCGAGAGCCGCTTGTGTGACGCGTGTGACTGAGTTAGGTCAGGGAGCGCTGCAAAGAGGAAGCGAGACCCCGGCCCAGCCAGGCAGAAGCCCAGGCTCGGGAGCCTACTCCGTTCTGAGTGTGTTTGAGTTGCTGCCGGGCGCGGGCGGAGCGAGAAAGCGAAGAGTGTAGGGCGACTGGCTCGGGAGCCGGAAGAAGCCCGTTCAATTCAGCAACTTTTCATTAAGCTCGTGCTGTGCCTTAAGTCTGGTCTCTGAAGCAGCCGCATTGGCGCAGTTTGTCCAGACTTAATCAGCTCATGTGAGCCCAGCACCAGAACCTGTTACTGGGTGGGGGAAAGGGAAGAAGAAATAATTGTACTATCGTTTTTGAGGCATACTAAGAAAAATGGCAGTACAGTTCAGCATTTATGCACTTAAAAGGTGTTCTGAGTGTTGGGCCACAGGGAGACAAGGAGGGGGGTGAATGGGTCACTCAAAAAAAGATGGTCTAGTTCTGGAGAAGAAAACGCATGGCCGGACGCGGTGGCTCCCGCTTGTAATCCCAGCACTTTGGGAGGCCGAGGCGGGAGGATTGCTTGAGCCCAGGAGTTCGAGACCAGCCTGGGCAACATAGCGACACCTCATCTCTACAAAAAAAGGTTTTAAGAAATTTAGCTGGTGACGGGCGCGGTGGCTCAAGCCTGTAATCCCAGCACTTTGGGAGGCCGAGGTGAGAGGATTGCGTGAGCCCACGAATTCGAGAATGGCCTGGGCAACTTGGCGAGACCTCGTCTCTACAATAAATCAAAAAATTAGCCGGTTGTGGTAGCGCGTGCCTGTAGTTCCGGCTACTTGGAAGGCTGAGATGGAAGGATCGTCTGAGCCCAGCGGGTTGACGCTGGGGTGACCATAAGCATGTCACGGTATTCCAGCCTGGGCAACAGAGTGAGACACCCAACTCAAAAAAAAATTAGCTGAGTAAGGTGGCATGTGCCTGTAGTCCCAGCTATTCTGGAGACTGAGGCAGAAGGATCGCCTGAGTCCAGGAGGTCGAGGCTGAGGTGAGCCATGATCCTGCCACTGCACTCCAGTTTGGGCGACAGAGTGAGAATTTGACTAAGGAAAAAAAAGCCAGGCTTTTTACTCAAGCCTGTAATCCCAACACTTTGGGAGGTTGAGATGAGAGAATTACCAGAGCTCAGGGGTTGGAGACCAGCCTGAGCAACATGGCGAGACCTCCTTCTTTACAATAAATCAAAAAATCAGCTGGGAGTAGTGGCACATGCCTGTGGTTCCATCTGCTTGGAATGCTGAGGCAGAAGGATCGCCTGAGCCCAGCAGGTCGAGGCTGCGGTGGCCATGAGCATGCCACTGCACTGCAGCCTGGGTGACAGAGTGAGACTCTGACTCAAAAAAAAAGAAGAAAGCAGCATAACTACTGAAGTGGTGTGCTGTGTTAAAGGCTTTGCAGATGGAGGAAGGGGCCACTAACCAAGGAATG